GATTGGCTCGAAGGTTGCACCCACCTCAAATTGCAAGCATTTTACCAGGGAGCTATAGGTCCTTAGATCTAGGGGTTCAGGGTGTTCTATAGGTCTTTAGGTCTAGGGGCTCAGGGGGTGTTGGTATCGGGATTGAGGCCTTGGGGTGTAGGGCGCAATTTGGTCTTGGGAAGGCCAACATATTCTAGCATGCTTTTCTTGGGTGTACCCTGAGGGTTGGCAGGTCTGATGTGAGTTCGAAGCCAGGGGGAGTCATAGTAATTGGAGTGGTACGATTTGAAATAGAGGTATTAGAGTTCTCAACGTAGACTAAGACCTTATTTTCCTTTAGAATTCCGTGCTAAGAACAGAATCTTACTTGCTTCCGTGGCTGCTGCTGCTACTACTACTACTACTACTACTACTACTACTGCTACTAACCGAAAATCCACTACCTACCTCGAATCTTGTCCCATACACGGCTCTTGCTGTTGTCAACATTCTGCCAGTCTGCAGAGCTAGGTAAGGAAAGTCTCACGTTACAACCAAATAAATCTTATGGTCTCTGATAATTCTTGTGAAAGAGAACACTCGCGTTTCGCGACACACCTGCCAATCTGCAGAGAGTATTCGGAGTTGAAGTCCCCCCAGAAGGAGCCAGAGCAACAGCTTGGTTGGAAAGTCAGCTTGCCTTGAGTACACAACTGGTATTGCGAATTCTTCTGCTGAGGGTGCACTCAAGGCACAGGATTCTTCAGGCTCGATGTCACCGCTATGCGGGCTTTCACTTTCCGCTGGGAGACCAAACCGTATCCTATGCCATGGAAAGCCTCAAGAATTTAATTCCTTGTGCCATCAGAGTTCAAAAGGCTCCCCGTAGCAAGCCACGACTGCGCGGGTGAGGGTCTAGAGTCTAGAGGTCTCTTTGCGGGCATGACGCACCAATTCACAACGTAGAAGGTACCTAGCGTAATGCAGCATGTTTGGTATCGATTGTATCGAGCGGTCCCGGGCATTTTGTTGTTACTAGGCAGGCTAAGGAATCTACAGGGGATCACAGGGTCCAGATTGGTATAAGCCAAGGACACAAAATTACCTCCATTCTGAACACCTGCTGCGCCAAGTGCACTTTGATCAAAATAGCCACTGCCGCAAAGGTCGGTTCCCAACCAGAATCTCAAGGCGCCGCCGCAACAACTCCTTCATAGTCTTAGTGCTCGCTACGAGCCGTCTATGTCCCCTAGAAACTGGATTTTTTGACCCCAAAGGGCTTCGATAAGCCTAAACCCTAAACCTTAATTTAGATGCCGTCCAGGCCTCCCACAAGCCCATTGGGCGCCCAGGTATGGGTGTACCAATGCCGCATTGAGTTCATGCCGATTGAAGACCTCTGCAAGGCATTCTGGAAGCTTATTTGTGGGTGCGCAGAATTGCAGGGCACATATATATATATATCTCTATATATATCTATATATATCTATATATTTTTTGGGGGGGGAGGGAGTGGCGTTCTGTAGTGAATCTAAGCACAGGATGTGTTTGCTGATTCGTTTGGGATGATGTGGGAAGATTATAAGAGGGTCTTGGATTTCTCATACATTTTTGGGGATTTGGGGGGCCAACATCTGATTACAGGGCAGTATCCACTACACAGTAATACTGGTTCACTAGGAATGACTAGGGGCCAGAATATGATTACCAATATCCTTTGTAGTCACAATCGGTGGACAGGAGCCTAAGCTAGACATCCGACAATCCTAAGCACCATCCAATCCGCTTTCCAATCTGGAATGTGAGCGGAGCCTACGGTTTGTTTCAACGTACTTTTGGCCTAAACCGGCAAAATCCAAGCTAAAACCATGTAATGGCCTACAGTCTCTCATGGAGACTATGTTGCAAAGCAGTAGTTTTTCATAGTACTTCTTAGCTTCCAGTGTAAAGAACATCCATCTCGTGGCTCCGTCTTCGCCGCGATGTACACCCAAGCATTAGCCTTTCACCTTGCCGATTCATGGTTTAGGGTTTAGGGGTGTAGGGACTTACGATTTTGGAATTTAGGGGTTAATGGTTTTAGGGGT